CACAACGGAAATGGCAGGCCCTCCCACCTGTACCACCAACCACCCAGCTCACAGAAGACAAGGTGCAAATGTGAAAGTACGTGGACTGATAAGTTAAATAAATTAGAAAAAAAGAAAGAGTGAAGCAAGTATACCAAGTCTCCAGCTAGGGCCTGAGAGCTGGATACGGCCCACAGATGTATTGTTTAGTCTAGTAGGTGTTTTAACTAGAAGCCAATATTTAAGAAATATTAGAGGAAAATCCAGACTTCAGCCTTCTTTTGAGAAATGTAAAGATGTGACAACCCTAAGCCCAAGTCCCCACAAAGTAAGAAGGGCTGCAGCTGACAGGAGCTGTCCCCTATTTCAGACAACCGCCCACCTTTACTGTTCACCTGGCCTGCTTCGCTGATGGATCAGTGGGCATCTGAATTTGCTACAGGATACTAAAGGAACTATTGGACAGTAAACTACAGTCAATAAAGATCTTCAGTGATTAAGAGTGACCTTTTGTGAGAGCCTAGCACCGTACAACATATCTCCTCCCAGGTCGCTTTTGCCCAATGATTTTCTTAAAGGGTTCCAAATACTTTGTTGTGGTCTTTACGAAGACTGTAATAACTAACTGTCTGTAAGTGGTGATTGACCGTTTGGAGAATGACCAAAGATAAAGGCCATTTGGAACAGAATGCCTAAGCTAAAAGATCAAAATCAGTGGGGCAGTCAAATAATAGAGGTTAAAAATCCCATACACGTTTATATCAAAAAGAATTTATGACATGTGCAATAAGACGGAGCAGTTCTCCACGAGAGTGACATGTTTAAATAGTATTTCCTATTTAGATAGCACTTTAAATATTTGCAACATTAAAAATCTATTTTTTCATCTGACGCTGACAAAACCCCTGTGCTATAAATATAAAGTTGGCTAGACAGATCTTGTTTTCCCCTGACAGATACCAAAGCATAAAAAAGCCAAGAGGCTTCACTAAGGTCAGCTAGTTAACATGGTAAAGATAGGATGAGAATCCAACTGTGCTAACTCACAATCCTGTGCTCCTGCTGCTTCTTATCCACTCGATATCCTATGATGGGCAGAAAAGTTATTCCAGGGATTACAGACAAATGTGGTTTGACAGGAGACTGGAAGAATCCATTCAATGACTCTGCACCAAGGTCTCCAAAATTCCTTCCAGTTTCAAGAGTGGAACTGGCCTTTCTGCTCACTTTCAGATCCCCAGAGTCATTCACTTCCACAGGCACGGCTTGGTACTCGATTTGTGTGTCTATGTCTTGCCTTCCCAATTATTCTGAAAGTTTCTCCAAGAGAAAGCAACTATCATGCCCCTTTGTATGTCCAACGTAAATCCTCAAGTACTTTATCATTTATACACAAAATTTAACAAAAAAAGTGCATCTCTCGTTCTAAAAAGCAGAGAGCTAGAAGTAACCTTAAGTGACTTTCAGAAATAATGACAAGGACATCTAAATTATATGAAGGAAACAAAAGTTAGAAGGTAGCTAGTTTCATGTTTTATAAACCTCCAAATTAAGTCCTCGTTTTATCACCAAAAAAGTTTTTTTAAGGAAATTAAAAAAAAAAAAAGGAAATGTAACCTTGGTGGGTTAACATTTTGCAATATTTTACATATACTATTTAAGGCTTTTTACTTGAAATATAAATATACATATAACATATGCATAAATATAAATATACATACAGACATCCCAATTTGCTACCTCTCAACACCAAAAAAATCTTTGCTGTTTATTTTTTTTAATTTTTTGTTTATGTTTATCTTATTTTTGAGAGAGACAGAACATGAGCAGGGCAGGGGCAGAGAAAGAGGGAGACATGGAATCCAAAGCAGGCTCCAGGCTCTGAGCTGTCAGCACAGAGTCCAACTCAGGGCTCAAACCCACAGCCGTGAGATAATGAACTGAGCCAAAATCAGACGCTTAACCGACTGAACCTCCCAGGTGCCCCAAATCTTTGCTGTTTAGAAGTGATCTTTTGTGACAACCTGGGGCCTAGAGGTGGATAAATATCTTCTCCCATCACTTTCAACCTGATGATTTTCTTAATTAAAAGGGTCCAAATAATTTGTTAAAACATACATATTTAATACCCGTAATACTCATGGCACATAAAGGCCTCATAGGGTAGGACATTTTAAATCTCTACTTAGAAAGGAAGTACGAGGGGTGCCTAGGTGGTGCAGTTGGTTAAGCATCCAACTCTTTTTTTTTTTTTATTTTTTTTTTTCAATGTTTATTTATTTTTGGGACAGAGAGAGACAGAGCATGAACGGGGGAGGGTCAGAGAGAGAGGGAGACACAGAATCGGAAACAGGCTCCAGCTCCAAACCATCAGCCCAGAGCCCGACGCGGGGCTCGAACTCACGGACCACGAGATCGTGACCTGGCTGAAGTCGGACGCTTAACCGACTGCGCCACCCAGGCGCCCCAAGCATCCAACTCTTGATCTCAGCCCAGGTCATGATCTCGCAGTTCGTGGGTTCGAGCCCCGCACTGGGCTCTGCGCTGATGGTGTAGATCCTGCTTGGGATTCTGTCTCTCCCTCTCTCTGCCCCTCCCCTGCTTGTGCTCTCTCTCTCTCAAAATAAATAAATAAACTAAAAAAGAAAAAAAATTTTTTAAAGAAAGGAAATAAGAGAGTAAGTAGCCACAATAAAAATCTAGAGAAGAAATATAGCCTATTAATTTGAATTATAACAAGAGTAATATTTTATCCCTGCATAATTACAGCACCTGGATATAACCCAGTTATTTGGAACTTGATTTTACACATCAACCACCTTCTTCAGAATATTGGTTTTTCCATGGCAAGTACTATCCAAGGGCTCCCCAATAAGATTGAATGCTAACTCTGAAGCAGTACATCATACACTGAGTCACAATACTTATAGGATCGTATGCTAGGAATTCTTCCATTTGCAAAGGGCAATTCTAATTCTTAGTTCTATAACCTATGGAAAAAATAGGCACTCCAATGTAGTATTAGAGGAATGGAAACTGGTAACTTAGAAACCGGTAATTTGGTTAATATATACCCAAACTAAATAAATAAATGCATATGTCTTTTGACCTAAAAATTCCACTTCTAGGAATCTGCCCAACAGATAAACTTGCAACTCTGTGAAATACCACACGACTAAGTAATTTACTGTAGCACTATTTACAACAGCAAATTTTTGGAAACAATTTAAATCATCTGGGGACTGGTTAAATAAACTGTGATATGTCCATACAATGGAATACCACGCAACCCTAAAAGAGAGGGAGAGAGAGAGAGAGAGAGAGAGAGAGAGAGAGAAGAAAGTTCTCTTTGTATTGATATGAAAAAATCTCCAAGTTAGAGTAAATGAAAAAAACAAAGAACAGAAGGACCCCCCCCCAAAACATTATGCGCCTCTGGGAGGTGAGATTATGTGGGTGAACAAAAGAATGAAAGATTTTTCACTCTATACTTTTTGAGTTCTGAACCATGTAAATATATTGTCTGGTTAAAACATTAAATTTAACCAATGTATCAACTTGCATACAAAAGCCATAGGGGGTGCCTGGGTGGCTCATCAGTAGAGCATCTGACTCCTGATTTTGGTTCAGGTCATGATCCCAGGAAGGTGGGATCAAGCCCAGCAGGGAGCCTGCTTAGGATTCATTCATTCTCCCATTCTCTCTCTCTGTCTCTCTCTCCCCCTATGCCCCTCTCCTGTGCTAGCACTCTCTCTCACAGAAAAAAAAAAAAAAAAAAATCATTGGGGCACCTGGCTGGCTCAGTCAGTAAACCATGGGACTCTTGATCTCAGGGTCATGAATTCAAGTCCCACTTTGGGTACAGAGATTACTTAAAAATAAAAATCAAGCCATAGTACATCAGAATATATAATGAGAACACCGTATTTTAATTAAACACTACAGTTTACATAACAACTTTTGCTATTCTTTCCATCAAAACGCCCACCAGTCCATCCCCAAATTATTATATAATTACAGAATATAAAGCCAGAAGGAGCTTCAAAGAGTCTTCAAAAAAAGAAAACTGTGGCCCACAAAGGTTAAATAATCTCACCAAAGGACAATTTGTAGGTGGCAAAGTACGGCCTACAACCTGATCCACATCCCAAAGCATTCTCATACTTTTCCCTCACCCCAAATACATTCTTCATTAGCACAAGGAGCCAACTAGTGTCAACCAAGATCCTAGTTGAATCTGGGTAACATGAATGACAGGGCTAGCACCACCTGACCTCCTATCTCTGTGAGACAATTTTCAGTGCTTACAGGGGAACTCGAAAGGGGTCTTGCTTTTCATGGGTTATGTTTTAGCAAAGTGCCATGAAGTCAAGTCACAGGATAAACATCAGGAGTGAGGAGGGGAGAGGGCTTTCCTACAAACCCAGTTACTAGAAAACTTGAGGAAAATGTTAAGCAACTTCACAATCAGGTCATTAGAATTTATTTTTACATTAAAACCAATACCAATCTATTCATGGCACAGAATTTAAAATGTACATGAATGTTTAAGGTAAACAAGAGACTTTCAAAGAAATTTCATGCTGCTTCTGACTGATTCTGATCCCCAGGGCCTAGAAGTACACACATTCATTCTCTTAAAGTCTAAAGAGGCATGAAAACTTGAGACATACTACACCAAGGGAATTAAAGTGGTCTTCTCAATGGCAGTGGAAAGACAAAGGATCAGAGCTAGACACACATGGATGGATATGTAGCTTAGTTCCTGCCACTGTGTGATCTTGAGCTCAGAGCCTCAGTTTCTTCATGTGTAAAACGCACTCAGTATTACTTAGTATGTGGTGTTATTATAAGGATGGGAGAAAATATAAGTTAAACAAGGTACCTGGACTCTATAAGGAGTGCAATTTATAAGGGCAAAATAAGGTTTGCAGTGGGTATTATAAGCCCTCCCAACCAGTCACAGGAGGAAAAAAGGCCAACAGGGTAAACTGACCTAGTGAAGAGTATATTATACTCACATATTTCATTTCAAACTTCTTAGCCAACATTTCCACTTCTTGCCTCTCTTGCTGCTCGTCATTAAATGGGTCTTCTGTGTGAATGGGCTTCTTCTGATTCAAAGAAAATGGGAAAAGAAATAAAAGTATTAGTACTGCTTCAACCAGAGGCAAATACATCCTTAAATTTAATGAGAGTCAAAATTTCCAAATATTAACAAATGAGTTAGAAGCATTAAAAGAAACCAGAAAGAAATGTTCATCTGTAGCAAAATAACACTTGCAGTTTTAATGGATTCTTACACATTCTCAAGTTTTTCGGTGAACAGCTCAACAATTCAACTTGTGTCCTCCTACAGAATGATCTATGGCCACCATGTCCAAAATAAAAAGGCCAAAAATCCCCCAAGAAAATTAGATAAAAACAAAAATCCCACTTATAACTCTAGTTTGAGATCTTCCCAACAAAGATAACTGCTTTGGTCAGGAAATGCTTCTCAAAGGATCACCTGGTTATTCATCAGTGTCACCGCTGATTCACCTGCCCTGAGCTGTCACTAGAGTATCTGTAGCTGCTATAGCCTTCTGCTGAGGCCGGGCATCAACACCTCTACCTACATCACCTACTTTTGTTTGTTTAATTTTTTTTAACGTTTATTTATTTTTGAGAGAGACAGACAGAGCGGGAGCATGGGGAGGGGCAGAGAGAGGGGGAGACACAGAATCCAAAGCAGGCTCCAGGCTCTGAGCTGTCAGCACAGAGCCCGACGTGGGGCTCGAACCCACGAACCGCGAGATCATGACCTGAGCCGAAGTCCGACGCTCCACCAACTGAGCCACCCAGGTGCCCCATCACCTACTTGTTATCAATGGATAGTCATTCAGGGAATACATACTACTTGCAAACAAAGCTAGAAAAGTGAAGTAGATGCAAATAGATTACATTACCATGGCCTCCTTCTAGCAGGGAAGAATCAAAGTTTATTATAATACATGGTTTTTAAAAAACCACACAAACAGCTCGGATCCCACATTTGCCATCCATTTACCGAAACAAACAAAAACATAAATCACATCCTTTACTCAGGTTTACTATTTTAGCAGGCACATTTCATATATATATAGTTTTTCAGCCCAAAAAAGGGGAAACAAGGAGCTGCATATGCGTCAAAATTCTACTTGTACCCAATTATGAACAACTGACTAGAAAGTTAATTTTTTTAAAAAGGAAGGCTAGGTATTTTTACTGAGGTAGTATTTTCAGGAATTAAAGATAAAGTATATTACAACTGAAATATTGGATACAGATTCAGCTGAATCTGAAGAAAAAAATTCAGCAGGGACAAAGGTCTGCACACTTTGGAACAGAGATATTTCATCCTGGGTATAAAGGCTGAGGTTTGAGCAGTCTAAAAACATGACAGAAAAATATGAACAGAATTCATACAAAACAATTCATCAGACCTAGGGTATAAGAATAAAAGGATGCTCTTAAAGCTTAAAGAAGTAATCTTAGAATCAACTTGTAAAATTATCTACTGCAATAAGTAATATATTTACAGAATCCTTTATCCCAGTAGGAGTTACCTGTGGAAAAAATACATATGACCTGAAAGGAATAATTAAACCAGCAGGAAGAGACTGATAATGAAATAAGAAATATGAAGCATGTCCAGGATACAGCCCTAACCTGAGCCTAAGGACAGAGAGCAACCACCATGACTGCCATTATGAACTTATGCTTCAAGTCACTGTGAAGTCTAAACACGAGGTCTTCCAGTTGGTCTGACCCGTTTTATATGTGAAATATAAACACACGGACATATATTTTTAATAAGAATCACCTTATGTGCCATTTTATAAGATTTTGTGTAGACTTCATAGAGACATCAAAAATAAATCTCTTACTCTTGACAGTCTGTAAAAATAAATTTAAGAAAACTGACTCACTCTCCTTTCACAGTTAAGAAATCAACCCCTACCCACAATCAAGGCTCTAAGTAAGCTTTATGGTTTCCGATGGAAAAAAAGATTTGAAAATCAGTAAATATCAAAATTATGAGCTACCCACAGGCATAAACATTATAATAATTTTGTCCTTTGATGTTAACTCATTAACACCATTTTCGGATCTTTCACGTTACCGAAAATATGCACTATGACAATGGGATACCATAGAATTCTGTAAAAGTATAACCATATTAACACCATAATCATTTTTTTCCTTTTTTAAGTTTATTTTATCCATTTTGAGAGAGGGAGAGAGAGAGAGGGAGGGAGGGAGAGAGAGAGAGAGAGAGAGCGAGCATGGGGTGGGGGTGGGGCAGAAAGGGGGAGAGAGGGAGGGAGGGGGAGGGAGGGAGCCAGAGGGGGAAGGAGGGAGAGGGAGAAGGAGAGAGAGAGACACCCAAGCAGGCTCCACCTGTCAGCACTGACCCAATGTGGGGCTCGAACCCCACCAACCGTGAGATCATGACCCAACCAGAAATCAAGAGTCGGACGCTTGACCAACTAGCCACCCAGGCACCCCTCTTTTTCTATTTATACTAAATGTTCAATTAATCACATTCACAAATGGATGCTCTAGTTAACTGATTCCCTGGTTTACTAAAAGTTAAACAAAAATTACTTGCATAGCAATTACTGCCAGAACTTATATTAAACTGTACTATTTCCCTTTAGCCAGAAATGGTGAACACATTAATCTCTGAGGACAGAGGCAATTGTCATGCCTCAGTCATCATCCCGAACCACCTCAATCAGGGCTTAGCAGTCCACAGAGATAACAAGGTAAGGGTTTAGCTAACCTGCGTCCTTGTAACCTAACAAGAAGGGATTTTGTTTTTCATATTTTGCCAACATACACTCATTTAACTGCGCTTTGCCTCATTAATAAAAAATAATATGCAACAATTCTGTTTGCATTCGGTTAATCAGGGTTTCACTATTCATTTTGTATCTATGAAGGGGAATGATTTAAATGTATCCCGATAAAGATGGTATCCACATGCGACACAGATTGATACCTACACCTATTAACTAAAATCTTATTCAGTGATAGATGGCTATTTCAAAATTTAGAATCTTTTTTAATTTTACACAATGTCTTTTCCTTGCCTTTCTACCCAAACTCTGCTACACAGTAAGTTTTTCAATTACAAAAACTCAACATTAAAACTATTTTGAAAAGATTCTAACATCCTTAAAAATAACTGGACTCTCCCTGAGGGAAGAAAAACCAAATTTGGGAATCACTGCTTTGCAGATCAATTCTGTTGGTTTCATTTTGCTTTTTCTGTTGGTTTCTATTGCTAGGATTTCCTTTCATGGAAATATGACAACCTCATTTACAGAAATGTTTCCTACAATTCCTTTAAAAATATGTTATTGGGAGTTATCATAGGTAAATCTGGCAAATCTTGGTTGCAAAGGTGCATTGTATAAACCATGGGGGTTTTTTTGTTCAGAATACAACAAATGATACATGGCTGAATATACAAGAAAAAGTGACCAATATATCCCAAAATTGAGAGCATAAACAGAAAAACTAAACTGAATTATTCATCTTTCTCCTATTACATGAAACTAGTAATTCTGATATTATCAGGTTAACAAACAAGGTAGGGGGTCAAAATTAACTTTTTTTGGTCGTAATTAAAAGATAAATATCTACTATTACTTTATCATGGAATGAATATCACAGCATTAAGAGGATCAGAACAAATCCCTATTTCTACTATAACTCTCATTTTAGTTCATTTTGTCAGGATCCTCTAAATTTTTTTAAACTATACAATTTTAAGAAGTTTTGTTTCATTAACAAGTGGTACTAGTATGGAAAGAAATACTAACAAAATTACATACAAGCACTTTGCATTTGCGTTCTCATTTGCAAAGTGGGGACAATGGTTCCTACCTCAAGGAGCTCTGCTGGACTGATTCCATAAGCCATACACCTTACTCGGACCTGTGTCTAGCACGCACATAGGAAGAATTCAGTAAATATTAGCTACTATAATGTATTTTTACCCAAATATGATGCTTTTCATCTGTAATGTATGAAGTAGATGAGGGAGTCAAACAGCAAACTTACTTAGATGAGAAGATCAAATACAATTTACTTGAAAAATGCTCCAATCCAGTATTTTCAAAATTATTTTGGAAAAAAGAAACATCAAATTTATAAAAAGGAGGGGTACTAAAGTGAGTCTGAAGGACAAAATGTTATGTGGACATGGCCAATATGATCTCTACCCTTGCCAATTCATTTAGGTTGCAAACATTTAAAATGATTTGACCTAGGGGCACCTGTGTGGCTCAGTCAGTTAAGCGTCTGACTTCAGCTCAGGTCATGATCTCGTGGCTCATGAGTCCAAGCCCCGTATTGGGCGCTGTGCTGCCAGCTCAGAGCCTGGAGCCTTCTTCAGATTCTGTGTCTCCCTCTCTCTGCCCCTTCTTCCCCTGCTCATGCTCTGTTTCTCTTTCTCTCTCAAAAATAAACATGAAAAAAATAATAATAAAGTGATTTGACCACACAACAATATTTACAAATAATGATCAAAAGATTCATTGGCCTTAAAATAAACAAAATCAAGTGACATTAATACATTTTTAAACTAAAGAGTCATTCATCTCAACTATAAAGATAGTTGAGGACAAAAACAAAACAAATGACTTCTTGAGTCCATTAGATCTGTACTGAAACAAACCTAATAAAGAGCATAATCTCTAAACGACAGAGGAAATTGTTCTTACTGCTTTTACTCTATCATTTCCCTTTCTAGTTTACTTCTAAAGATCACCAAAACCTACAATAAAGATTACAATTAGCAACAAACCTCTCTCCTATCTTCGTTGTTCACCAGTTCCATCAAAGGCATACCTATGGATTTTCAACAGTTTCTAAAAATTCAAAGCTAAGATGTTTTTCATTGTTCTCCAAAAATCACCATGGCCAATACACCATCCTCCAACGCGGACCTATAAACTAATGATAAACACTCAAATAAAAGTATGATGGTAGGCGCCAAAGACACCTTCCCATTCAATTACACTAAGAACAAACTATACAGAAAACAAAGCTAAATAGGTTTACCAATAGCAACATGAGAGAGGAAAATAAGTAACCAAATAACCCACTTCTTCATTCCTAGAGCGGAATCCTTAGTCTGAAATTTTTCAGATTACTTTCAAATCCCCTTCAATTAAGAGAAATACCCAACGTTCGCAAGCACACCTCAGAGCCAAACATAAGAGTGAAGAGGACGATGTCGAGGGGTTACACTATCTCTGGGCTTCCGACCGGGGGGCGTGTCCCCCAAGGTTTTCTCTTCCTTTCTACTGGAATGACTGACTGCTGGAGCTCCGCAAGGAAAACCCAACCACGTAACTTGCAGAGCTCCCAGATTTTGCATGGGGAGCAGAAAGGAACATAAATTCTGAGGTCCCGAAAGCTGCAGAGGAAAACCGGCTCCGAGCGGCATTCTGAGCAGGCGAGCGGGGGGGGGGGGGGGGGGCGGCGGAGCCGGGTGGGAGCCTTGGCCAACCCTGGGGAGCAGGGGAAAGCAGCACCGACCACTCGTCCACCCTCTCGGCCCCTGCCCCCGCCAGCCCACCCTCCCAGGCGACCCGAGACGCGCAAAGTGGGCGTCGGAAGGTGCCAACCACTGGGAGAGGCGGACGCGTCCTGAGACTCCCAGGGTCTGGGGGGTGAGGGAGGAATCTTCTGTACCCGTTGTTCTCCGCACAGCAGCAGCTCCGGGTAACTGAACTCCACGCAGCTCTCGTCGGTGGGATCCTTGAGCACCAGCTCCAGGCGCACCGTCTCCCTCGGCGGCCTCTGCTGCGGCTCGGCCCGGGAAGCCGTCTCCCGCGGCGGGGGCGGCTGCAAGTGCAGCTGAGGGAGCGGCGGCGGCGGCGGCTCGGGCCGCGGGGGCTCGCGCTGCAGCGACATGGGCGGCTCGGCGCGGCTGACCTCGCGCTGGGGGAGCGGCTTCTCCCGCGGCGGGGGCTGCACGTCCGACCGGGGGGCAGCCTCCCGCGGGGCCGGCTGCTCCGCCCGGGCCGGCTCGCGGTATGGCTGCGGCTCCAGCCGGGGGGGCTCGCGAGGGTACTCGGGCTCGCGTTCGGCCCCCGGGTAGTCGGCCTCGCGCCGCCTCACCGGTGACAGGCTAATAAACGCTACTCTGCGTGGCTCCGCCATCCCCACTGTTCTGGCCCTGTGCCTTCGCTCGAGCCGGCGCTCGGTTCTACGCCGAGTTGTTTGCCTGCCCGCCCTTCCTTTTGCTTTCCGTCGCTTTTCTTCCCTCCACCACCCTCAGTCGTCTCTGCCGACGCCACCGTGAGTGCGGACCGTGCCCCCTTCCCAGCCACTATGTTCTGATGGGCTCCACCGCCATCGCCAGGGTCGCCGCAGCCGCCATGTTGGATACCCCACATAAATAGAAGCAGGCCGCTGAGCGGGCGCATGCGCAGATAGGAGACGCTCGCGTCCACCGTCGTGGCTGCGGCTCAGTTTTCCTCTTTTCCTCCCAACAGTCTGGAGTCCAGACAGGTCAGCGGAAGTGACGTAGTGGCAGGGCCGGTTTCCTTGGAAACGGAGACGCCGTCTGCGCCCTTCCTAAAAGGGAGGGGTCTGGGGTTTCCCTAGCTTCCCGTTTGCACCCGGAAACCGGAGGCGCGCGTGGGGCTCAGCAAAGAGCCAGCGTCGGGATGCGCCTGGGTCTGACCTAATCATGGCGCTGGGTCCCGTCCGGCCCATTCCTCCGGCACTCGGCTCTAATGAGTTGGGGTTGTCAAGCTGGTTACTCGAGGCGGATACGGAGAAAGGGTTGAGGGACGCGAGGACCAGCTGCGGTGCCTGCCTGCCCAGCGCCCCGCTGCCCGAAATACCAAGGGAAGAAAGGAAATGGCTAATTCCAGCCGGACTCGCCCTGCGGCTTCCCTCCGCAGAGCGCAACACTGACTCCCACAGGCCTACCTTTCCTCGACCGACTGCTGTCGCCCGGCCACGGTGGGGATTGTGTGTGGCACGGTCGTAAAATGAGCAGTACCATTTTGCAATTGGGTAAATGAACAGTTCTGGGCTCGTCCACAAAGCCTAAACCGTTGAAATTAATAGAAAACTTCTCAGGAGGATTTGGTGGTATTTTAGAGAACGTACTCTCTGCAAGTGGAATGCTAAATGACCCATTTCGGGGTGGAGGGGAGCCTTGTTTGGGAACGCCTTGTAGGCACACGTGTGATAAACTAATTGGAATCCAGATTTAAAAGGATGAGAGTTACTGTCCATTTTAATCCACGAACCAGAAAGCAAATTTGAGGCCCTCCCCCCTCCAAATCCTGAAGAGAATTCACGCCTTCTGTTAAATCCATTAACTGGATTAACAATGTTACCACGAATTCGCGACCGTTTCATTGAGTCAGTATGATGTCTTAGACACTCAGTATTTTCCTACAGAGTAAGTTGTATGGTAACTCATATCCAGTAGCCTCCACAGCTTAGCTCAGACAGCAAACTGGCGGTCTGTGGGCTGAATCGTTCTGCAGGCGTGTGACTCTTCCAACGTAATCTTCCAACTTCTAACGTACTGAGTGTTTTTCTAACTTCTCACAACTCCCAGTGAGAAATAGATTCTACACTGAAACCCAGTATACGCACAGATACATAGCTGAAATACAGGTTTCACAGAACTTACCTTATGGTGTAAAATAAAGAACAAAATTAATACAGCATAAATATGTTTTATAATACAATGTACAAACCGATCAATATAAATAGCACAGATGATTTAATTTAATGCTGTGGACATCCTTGCCTGTTCATAGGTTTATTTCAGTCCACAATGCATGAGGGTAATGCTGCACGTTCATCTCGGCTACCATTGAGCCTGATCTGTAACTTTATTTTTCAAATGAGTCAAAACTGAATTTCTTAGTTCATATACATAGGTATTGTGAATAGTAATGTGAATCCACTTTCTTTGCAGTAAATTCTTTCATCTTAATCCAACATAATGATTAATTTCATGTATGGCAATCATTTTTCTGTGTAAATGAGGTACTAATCCCCAATAATTTATTCTCCTCATAGACATCAACTTTAATAAAATTATTTAAGGTTTTGAAGACCAAATGAATCTTCTATACACTTGTTTTCATTTAATATTTCAAGTTATCTTCTGTTTTTAGTTTTTAATAATTTTTATATCTTTATGTTTTCCTGATTATATTTGTTGTCCCATCACTTGCAATTCCATTATAAATTGTATAGTTTTTTTTTTTTAGTGACTTAAATGCTATTTCCTAGTGGTGAATATATTTTTCTCCATACAGACAATAACTCCTCTATAAAATTGTCTTGCTACACATATCTGGCATAAAAGTATTATATAATTTGCAATATTAGTACTCTCATCTAGTTGGACTGTTACTGCATAAGAATCATTGATTCTTCTCAAGGTTCTGTGATAATTGAGTTGATATTGTGTTATTTCCAGGAAGTATATCTTTGAACTTACCAGCTTGTTTGCCACCAAAAACATATGCACCAACATATTGGATGAAGCAGCTTTTTAGCACTTAGCACTAAACCATTTTTCTTTTGCCACAGCTAAACGCAAAGATTGTGTTCCTCATTAATATTTGTGAAGCAACTGATAATTGTGCCAATAACTTTATGCCCTTTTCCTTAAGAACATCTTTTTGGGGCTTATTGACAAGTTGATCATGCTGTATTTTCAAATGTCCTTTTACTTTTGAAGGTATTATTAAGCTTTCTTTGCAGGAAATGTATTATCTTTTCTTCTTTGAAATGTAAAGTCTGTTTTCTGATTATTAGAATAACATATTTTTCTCAATATTTTCACTGCACATCCAAATCTAACAGCTAAACTTGAACATGGGGGCGCCTGGGTGTCTCCGTCAACTGAGCCTCCAACTCCTGATTTTGGCTTGGGTCTTGATCTCAGGATTCGTCGGATTGAGCCCTGTGTCAGCCTCTGTGCTAAGAGCACTGAGCCTGCTTGGAATTCTCTCTCTCCTCTCTCTCTCTCTCTCTCTCTCTCTCTCTGCCCCTCCCCTGCTCTTGCTCACTCTCAAAGCAAATAAATAAGCTTTTTAAATAAATAAATAATTTTTAAAAATTTAAAAAATAAACTTGAACACAACTTCTGTATTTTTCTTTCTTTTTTTTTTCTTTTTTTGAGAGAGAGAGGGTGAAAGTGAGCGAGGGGCAGAGAGAGAGAGAGAGGGAAAGAGAGAGTCCCACAAGGGACAGAGAGAGAGAAAGAGAAGCGGGGCCCACCCGAAGTGGGGCTCGAGCTCACCAACCGTGAGATGATGCCTGAGCCAAGGTCAGATGCTTAACTGACTGAGCCACCCAGGTACCTCTATATTTCTCACATTATTATTTCTTCTAATAACAAAGAAACTTCTTTGAGAACAACTGATACCAACTCGATTAATAAATAGTACACATTCACGATGTGTATCACACACACACACACACACACACACACACACACACACATCATACGTGATGACACCCCTTGCTCCAAAAACAGACTTTAAGTTCTTCATTGACACTCAATTGAAAATTCTGGTTTTCCTATCAGCAAGTAAAATTTCTCCTGTACTTCACTGCATAAATCACAGGCTGTGATAGGTAAAATTAGGCTCTACACTGTTATCTGTACAATAAATTAACCCAGGAATTCCAATGAGGTAACTGTTTATCTACCAGCTTCCCCTCCTGCACTCCAGCCTTGAATAATCCAGGATTAGTGTGGCCACTGGAACTTTCGATTCAATTAAGTGCTGCTGTAGCCTAGTTCATTTTTTAAAAATGCTGCCTGTGACCCTCAAAATTGATTTCACAGTCTTCTAACTGGTTGCGATCACCGGTTTGAAACCGATAGTCACCTTAGCAACCACCTTATTAGAACGTGAATAGATGAGGAAAATTTAATTTTCTTACTTTTGGGATGTTTTAGGAGCAGAACATGGGTACCGATGCTTTTCCTTGGGAATTTGGGAAATCCTAAATACTCTTGTTCAGTAGTAAGGGCCTTTGAGGAGGCCAGGAAGAGGTCAAAGTCAATTCCTCTTTTTTTTTTTTTTTAATGCTTATTTATTTTTGAGAGAGAGAACTCAAACAGCAGAAGGGCAGAGATAGAGAGGGAGATAAGGAATCCCAAGCAGTCTCCGCAGTTTCAGCACAGAGCCCATCGTGGGGCTCAAACTCAAGAACCGCGAGATCATGACCTGAGCTGAAATCAAGAGTCAGATGCTTAACTGACTGAGCCACCCAGGTGCCCCAAATTCAATTCCTCTTCAGTGCAAAGTTAGAATACCTTTGTCTAAGATTTTAGATTATCTAAGATATCTAAGATATTAGTGTTACTGAACTGTAATGCTATAAGATCAGGCGTTACGTTTTTGTTGTATATAAAATATCCTGTGAGATCAAGCTACTCATACCCTTTTCATGCAAAATTACCGTCCACCACATCTTTAGCACAGCAATGTAATAATTTTACAAACTCTCAAATCTCATGTTGAGGACTAAAGTTCAATCCAAGGTGTGGTGTTCTTGCACCTGTGGAGAAGTGTACTTCTAGAAAAGGGACACACCAACCCCACTCTTTGGTGCTCCAAATTTAGTGGTATATCCTACAGGCAGAGCGGCAGGACTGTCCCCAAGTTCCTGTCTCCCACCTTCCCCAAAATGAATGAGGTAAGATGGTTGCCTTTTGGAGCTGAACAATAGGAAATACCTTAATTGGCAATAACAGCGACAATCGACAGCAAAAGGTAGAATGGACCATAGTTCAATGTTACGGTAATCCTTCCTGTGTTGGTTCTGCTTGAGGAACACCCATTTGAATAAAGACCAGAATGTTTCGGGAAGATCCAAATGAAGAATATCACAGAGGAAGAAAAGCAAGTATAAGTGTATGAAGGGAGTGAACTTGGTGGGTTGGGAGAAAGGTCAGACTGGCTGAGAGCACAGTGAGCAAGGTGGGGAGAGATGTAAGAGATAAATCTGAGAGGGATTTAAGAGTCAGCTTACACAACGGTGTAAGGAGTTGGGATTTTATTATAAATGAAACCAGAGCCATTGGAAAATTTTAAGTAAAAAAGTAACATGATCTTAGAAGAAAAGCATTTCTGGGCCCCTGGGTGGCTCAGTCAGTTAAGCGTCGGACTCCTGATTTCGGCTCAGGTTGTGATTTTACGGTTCATGAGATCAAACCCCACATCGGGCTCTGTGCTGACAGCGTGGAGCCTGCTTGGGATTCTCTCTCTCTCCCTCTCTCTCTCTCTCTTCCCCTCCCCGGCTCGCTCTCTCTCTCTCTCTCTCTCTCTCAAATAATAAACATTTTTCAAAGAAGGAGAAAAGCATTTCAAGAAAGTGGGTAGACAACTCACT